TTAATGCGTCCGATGGACACCCCAATAAGCCGAGCCCATGGATTATTTATTATGGGCTGTAGTCTCTTTGATTCGCCCACTTACCTATGACCATTTACACAAATAACAGCCCATTCATGTATATTTGACCACTTCCATACCACGTTCATCTTCAAAACACCATGCCACTTTCTTTTCCCACGTAATCCACTCCACGTTCTGTTCGCAATATATATAGCCTTCATGATACAGTAAAACCACAATTGCGAGGTCTCACTCAACAAACTTGAATGTAATGGCTTTCGCTTCTGTAAGAGACCTTAAGCTCCATGATAATTCTTCTACACTTCGGGTTCGTCTCTTACGTATATGGGCGTCGCTCACACCATTAGGAGATTCAATTTCACATGAGAATGTGCTTTTCATTGACAAGGATGTAAGTTCGACGGTATTGCATTTAATGTTTATGCTTTTTTATTTATTTAAAGGATTCTTTGATGCATTCTTATTCTTTTATATGGTGTTGATATCGAGGCAATAGTTCGTCAACCCCATGTTTTGCATTTCCTTCGATGTTTTCGTGAAGGTTGTATTTATATCCTGTCCCGTTTTGTTGTGGAGAATCATCTTTGCAGTCACCGTGTTGTCCCCAGTGATCTGCGACTATGTTTTATAGCCAATACCGGTGTTCAAAGATTGAATGATGAAGCTTATGATATCCCAGAGCTGAGCTTCCGTTTTTTTGTCACTTGACAACTTTCGAATGGCATTTCGCAACCGGCATCTTCTTCCTGGTATTTATTATTTACCTTTAACCAATAAACATCAATTTCTTTGCATTACATAGTTATTGGCTAAAAGTTTTTGACGTCTCTGTAGATTTGGCCGGTAGGGTAGTAGCGTGCCACCCTACAAATGTTGTATTTCCAGGACTGTCACTCAGAAGCAAAAAGATACGCCTTCAATTGTTAGAGTATGTTTTCCTTTGGATCAATAATATTGTGCATATTGGTCTGTACATGTACTAATTCTTACTTTCACTTAATAACTAGGGGTTGTGTTGTCACTATTTTCTTTTGGGATAACATGATCAATGAATTTGAGAACTTGCTTCCCGCTGCTGGTGTGTTTGGGCAAGTTTTGTCAATCACCTCACTCTTTATCCAGCATGATGAAGGTACAAATTATTGAATTCATCATTAAAACAGTTTGTATTAAGTTTTTTGGCCAATATATGTTTTTTGATGCCCCACTTGAATCGAATTTTGGTTTGTAAATTTAGAAAATTGTCGTACCCACCATCATAAATTTCTCCCAAAATGCTATAGCCCATTTATTCTTTTAAAAATACTAAATGTTGCTTCCTTTTCCCATTCCATGCTTTGAGATCATAATTTCTTGCTTCATTTTAATAAGTTTATTATTTGAATTTTTGTTATGCAAATTTGAACATTTGTTACATTATTTGATAGGAGAGTATGTGTTTACTGCGTCCCCAGCTACAAAAATATATGTTGACCTTCATTGTCCTCAGATTCACCGCCTCTTAGACCAGTAAGTTCAATTATCTAATAATTTAACCATTTCAACATTCCAATTCTCCTTTCTTAAACATTCACTTTCTATTCTTTCTTTTATTCGACAGTGATGTTAACAAGAATTATTTCATAACCCATCTCACATATCCCCTCGCCAGAGAATTTAGTGACAGCTGTTATGCAATAGATCTTCTTGAACTGCAACTGGACATCAACAACATGGTAATAAACTCTTCTAACACTAACCATACTTTTAATACCTATGATTTCTATCAATATCATTATTTACTTACGTTTTCACTTACAATATTCTACATTAACCCATCCCTAGGAACAAGTCTATATTTGTGTTGGAGATGTGACCAAGATGGTGATTTCACAGTGTCCTGTTACAAACTCAACTGTCATTCATCTAACAATTGTAGATGTTAGTGGTGATGTTGATGTCATATTTACCTCACGACACCTTAGGCGAATTGCTTCAGCTATCCTCCCATCCGATGATTTGTTGCATGCGGATTTCAACTCTATTCTCCACTCTCTGGAAGGTCGACGTTATGAATTGCTGGTCAAAGTTGGACCATGGAACCCTGTTCTGCAGTATTGTGATATGGTGTTGCTTAAATTATTCCCAGCGGTTAATTAGTAGTAGTGGAGTAACGTATTTTTCATTCCTTTTTATCTTTTGGAATTTTGAACTTATCGGTCATCCCTACATACTCAATACCAGTACTATGCATCCACCTTCTTAATTAATGGTTATTCTATTACATCGACTTTTTATATAACAGGTTTCGCATCTAGCATTGCGTACAATACAATATGTATTTATTACAGAATGTATGCTTCTTTTACATAACAGTTGTAATAGGTCATTACGAAAGCCTTACGTAATGGGTGATCCTTTTATGCAACGTGATAAGTCCCTACGAAACCCTTCGTAATGCTTTTGATTTTAAAATATAAGAAAATAACTATCATTCTGTAACCTTTATGTAATGGATTTGTATTGTTCATAACCATTATAACAAGTCAATAAGTGATTACATGCATTTAGGTTACCACTGTTTTGATAATTAACGATCTAAATTAATTTTAGTATTTTCACCATATAAATTCATGTGATTTACCTAAATTGAAATTATTTTCAAATTATTTTTGGAGATTCGATCACGTTTATATATGGCTTACAAATTAACTCGAATGGTTTTTTTACCATTTCATTTTCATGCGAATATATAGATAGTAAATAGATTTGAACGGAATTGAACTGTTGTATATGCCTATTATTTTGATAAAGTTAGACCTGTGAAGCTGCACCATTTGTCTCTAATCAATATCATGCATGCCAGCTCAGCTTTAGATAATTGAAGTTATTAAAAGTCAATTGCAGTTATGGGTTAAATTGAGTTCGTGCTTTATACTAACCAAATCCACCATCCAAGTAAATAGAGTTCGCGAGTTAGGGACGACCTGCTGAAAATTCGCGTTGTACCGCTTTGGCGGGGGATCGAGGGCATTAAGATCGCGAATTAGGTGATCTGATTTTTGCCTAATGATTTTTATTAGTTAAAAGATTTTAGCTCTGTCAACCCACCGAATTTTGCTTCACCTAAAAATTCCCTCCTCAAATCCTGCCGGTCGAGTCCGATCTCGGAAACCGCCGGGTACTTGAGCCGCAGCTGCTTTCACTCATACCCAGGATTGATCCATGATTTGTTAGGCTTTGTGATGGAGATGGGACAACAAAATGAAAGCAATGGGCCTTTCTCTACAGTAATATTCAAAAACGAAAGCCCACAAACCACATGCACCCATATAAAACATCCCACATCCGTGTTTATATATTAAAAAAAAAATTGGATCCACTAACAAATTGTATACCACCCACTTTTTTAATTCAACCACTAACTGCAAAAATACAAAGTGCTCCCACTAACCCATTTAACCCACTTTCCCCACACACTTACACCACAACATGCGGCCAATGGAATCACATTCAAGTTTGGAAACACTTTCGCTCCTTTATATAATGGAGATACCTGTTACAATTTTCGTTTACTACTTCCCAAACAAAACACTTCGGCTCCAATCACCGTGCGAATTGCATTCAATATGGCGGGCCTACCTCAATTCAATCAGTAAGTACTGCTCATGCATCCAACGAATACTACATTATGTAATTTCGATTGTTTTTCACTACTTAGTGCCAAAACTTACAGTCCAATATATAGGCTTCCCCATGGTTTTATTGCTAATCTGCAATACAATGATGTTGTTGAGATTTGTGAGCGTGCCGACACCATCGATCTCGTTATGTTCCAAGTGGGTGTCACAAATCAGGTAACAAAACGACTAAATTTGTTTTTAATCGTATGCCTTTTGTGGCATCCTCCATTTTCTCGATTTGCTTTGACCATATTCGTTCTTGTGTTTACATCAGGGCAACTCTTTTCTATTATCCGGACGTGTGACGGATTTGACGACGTCCTGGTCCCCTGCATCCATAATCCATTTCTCCACCTCACAATTGAGGACGATTTCATCAGTGTTGACATCGTCTTCCCGTCATCACAGTTACGAACGATTGTTGGGTCTATATTCAATCATGCAGATGTTGTCAATGCTGACTATATGGCTCTTCTGAACATGCTTGGAGGACATACATTTGAAGTCATGGTCACAATCGGTCCCTGGAACAATGCATTTGGTTATTGTGAACTTGTGTTGGTGAAATTATTTTTGACTTTGTTTAATTGAGTATCATGTCATGAACCATGAGACAATGTCTTGAGTTTTCATACTTTGGACCTGCATGTTATTTGTCGTAATATACAACTAGATTAGATTTGTTATTAGTCAAATTTCATGTAAGTATTTTTTTCTTGATTAGCTAATCTTCAAATGTATCCTCCTCATCCTTACAATACGTGTGTGAATGGTATGCTTTTTCCCTTAATTAATTAATAACTTTATTTTTAACTTATTGTGAATGTTTATTCACGTTACATGTTCGTCTTCACTGAATTGCAAAATTGCAATAATCTTATGATAATATAAAACAAGACTCATTAACATTATAGCTATTGTTACTCCATTTTCTTTAAACAATTACGGCCAACGGGCCGGGCTAAAGGCTAGTTACCTATAAATTATCCAATCCGTTGCACAACCCTAAGCCTAAGCATCAGGGGAAGAACTAATTAAGATGACCTCTCAGGAGACCCTAATAACAACCGACAACTGAATCTTATCCCTTACGTTGGGTATTACAAAAATGAAACTGAATCTTATCCCATACGTTGGGTATTAGCAAAAATGAAATGGAATTTTGAATCTATTTTGGATTTCACTCAATTAAGAAAACACTCAACAAAACCCTATTAATTTGGTTCGATTAACTAAAAACAATGAGAACATACAGACAACATAAAGTTTTCTTTCTTTCTTTGTTTGATGCTTCTCTGTCATACTTTCATGTCCTTCATGCACATTTTTTTATTAAGGGAGGTACAAGGCCGAAGAAGAAGAAATAGTACATGGGAGAAGGGAGGAGTTACGCCGAATCGGCATGAAGGGGAGGAACTATGTTTCTATCGATCGGGGCGCCTCTAATATCATCTTGGAGAAGTAAATGCAACCCATCAAGTGGTGTCTCTAATTCATACCTACCATAGAGATAGACGAGACTGTACTTCGAGAGCCAGTCCGCGACTCTATTCCCCTCTCAGTAGGTATGAACTAAATTCATCACCCAATCCTGAGTGAGTCTACGTCTAATAGCTGCGAGAAAATTAGCACACGGATGTACAGGGTCTGACGTGATCGTAACCAGGTGAATAGCCGTTTGGGAGTCTGATTCTACAATGATCAATATGCAACCTTAGTTCCAAGCAAATCGTAGTTAGTGATAGATCACCCACAACTCAGCCATCATAGCTGAACAAGATTCCAGGCAAGAGATGAAACCACCCATCCAGTTCTTGTCAGCATCTCGTAACACACCACCAGCTGCACCATCAACATTCAGTTTAGCCCACCCTGATGGTGAGGACTTCCACCCAAAAGCGGCCAAAGTACGAGTGGTAGGAGCGACACGCCCACCCGGTATCGCAATTGGCGTCATCCACGCTTGGTACCAAAGAGCAGCCTTACTCTTGATCGCTTGATTGAGGGAAGGGGGAGAGAGAGTCTTGGTCATTCCGCCGAAGCTTCCTGTTCTTCCAAATTCTCCAGAGTGCAATGCTGAAAAAACCATTCCAGGGGGCGCCTGAAGGGGAAATATCTTCACAAGACAGATTATTCCGTAGCCACAACTCTTCGGGGAGGCTGAAGAACTCTACATGTAGATCAGTCCGCATGTTTCACACCTAGAGGAAGGCCGGTAGGGGGCACTCAGTGAAGATTTGAGAGATGCTCTCGCGCTGCCAAGGGAACCTGTAACAACACGGGTTCTGATTCACATGTCTCTTTATTCTATGGTCGTTGCAGTTGATCCCCCCATGAACCACAAGCCAGATGAAGCAACGAATTCACTCTGGAACCGGGGGCTTCCATATTCCTTTCCACCATTGTTGATTTGTGCTGGTTGGGATAGGTAGCAATAGGTGGTAGGCGGTCTTAGTAGAGAACTTCCCGCCTAACGCGGGCTTCCAAAACAGAATATCCTTATCGGTAGCAAGGGGGTCTACCGCGGCTGTTGTAATTAGATGTTGCACTTCCAGCAGCAACAGTTCTTGAAATTTCTCAATCCTCCATCACCCTTCTTCATCAATGAATTCAGCCACCTTCGCGTTCTGGTCATCTACAGGAATCGGTCTTGTGGCCATGTCTTGGAGAGGAACCTACGAAATCCAAACATCAGTCCAAAAGTTTGCATATTTCCTATTATGAATATTCCAGACGCATCCCAGCTTAACCAGGTTAGAAGCCTTGGAAAGACTATACCAGGTAAAGGAACTTTCCTGTACTCCTTTAAGCAGCTCGAGATCCTCACGCCCCTTCCCATACTTGCCGCTCACAAGTTGAACCCATAGAGCCTCTTTATCCTGAAGAATGCTCCAACAACCTTTAGCTAGGATAGCTAAATATATATATAGCAATATGGAATAAACATGTTGATACAATGATCCCATATAATCAATGCAATGGAAACTCTCTTTTCTCATATTTTCTTCACTACAACTAATCACTTTATCATGCATTAATATTAATTGCATTGTCAATCTTGTCTTCTATTCAAACTTGCAATACATTTGCTATCCAACTTGCTTCTCATAACCTATTTGTTGGTCGCATAATTAGATAGCTTGTTTTGCCTGCTAGATAAGTGATCTTGTTTTCTTGATAAGACGATGTATCAATTGCAAATCCGTGAAATCACCATTCAACACCTTAATGCTTGCTCAAAACACGTTAAACTTATTGTTCAAGCATATTACACATTAAAATTTTATTCACGATCTTATCTGCAATCTATTATGAAAACCTAAAACCATTTTCCTCATCGGGATAAAACTTACTGATACAACCACATCTAAGATATGAACTTGTTAATGAAATGTTTCATAGTTTGATCACATACGCCACCACGTGCAACAGCCTTGTCTATGTCTTCCATGACCTCGGCTGCTCGAGACCTCAACTTTTGGCTCTCCATCATTTCCCTAATGCGCATCCCAATCTCCTCTCCCTTCACCACAAACTCCCCATTCCATCCCCACTTCCCTCCCAACATCCCTATCCCACATTCAGCCATTGCCACCCCTATTATCCCCTGATCCCCGCCCTGAGGCCAACCAAGCATCGGAACCCCATACGAGGACGCTTCCAGGATCGAGTTCCATCCACAATGTGTCACGAAACCTCCCACAGATTTGTGTCCAATGATCTGTTGTTGATCAACCCAATCCTGCACAACGACACCTTTCTCTTTCACCTGCTCATTCATCATTAACACAATCATAACAAAATGATTTGTCGAGAACAGATCGAGATAATTGACAATGCAAAAAAGTAAAGAACACATAGACTTATGTGGTTCATTAATACAATGTGTGATAGTTAGTCCACGTGAAGAAGAGACACTGTGACATCCGACCCACGATAGATAATCTGATTCAAGTTATATCAACATGATTAATATTATAGTGTATATTCTTCATCCTAAACTGATTCTTTACCTGATGAGTGAGATCTGCCCCAAGAACTTGATGTATGCTTTGGCCATCATCCTTGTCCACAACAGAGAATTTTGCTACCCACATGAATGGATAGTTGCAACTTATCAATGCCTTGGCAACCTCTATGGTTTGTTCTCTGGACAAGGGTGCTCTACTTCCAAAACTCACATATACAACAGAGGCTGGCAGCTGCTCGTCTAACCATCTCTCCCACGCAGCTGATCTACTTCCATTGACCTTCTCTGGTTCCCATGGTGGGTACAGAAAGGCGAAGATAGGAGGCATCCCATCAACAATCTTTCCAGATTTAAGGGCCCGTACAGTTTTCCCCTCCAGTACATCACAAGTGTTTATCATAAATCCATCGAACTTCTTGATGCAATCGTTGTTGGCCCTGCTTGAAATTTCATTGTCCTTCAGAAAAAGAACAAAACATTTGTTCTTCCTAACTACTAAAAAATAGATTACGACTTTAACCAAGGTTCTAAATTGTGTATGTAGCACGTTATGTTTTTGTAACTAGGGGTCATTTTGAGGTTGTGATAGTCTAAATTGATACATTCATTAAATTTGTGTATTCTAATTGTATGGATTGCTTGAATAGAAGCATTTGGCAAATACAATGTTTGTCTAATTTGAATGTACTAGTTGCAAAAAAAAAAAAACACTCCTTTGGGTAAAGAAAGATAAGTTTGTCCTTTCCTTTCGCTTGTTGCAATTAAACAAGGGTGACTTGCTATAAGAAGGCCCCTTGTCAAGAGAGAGAGAGAGAGTAGCACTAAGTGAGAAACCATTACGAACACAAGTGCGGAATGGTGATAGACATCCGTCTCTAATCAACAAGAAGACAAGACGACCCCGTTATGAAGGACATAATGTAGATAATCAGCACAAAGAACTCAGAGGGGGTCGTCTTGTTGGACGCCCTAAATTATAAGAAAAAATAATTTTAGGTACCAAAATGTAATTTATAAAAAATTAGTGTACTCCTTAGGTCGACCCACTGACCTGACACGTTCCGAACCGTCCTAACTCTTTAGGCCAGACACGGTCAAGAAGGAGACAAGGGCGGGACGAGTCAGTTATACATCTTGGCCCTTCAGGGATGGATCGGATAGGGTGAGGGACAGGTGAAGGAAATTTTCAGCCCTAATTAACGCAATGGAATGGCGGAAGAAGGAGCCACAGACTGGCTATTAGAGAGACAATTTGAGAGAGCGGGGGAAGCACGTAATTACTCTTGGGAAAATGAGGGATCTTTCCTTCTAAACCCCGAGCGCACGCCGCGATCTCAGCATGGTGAGGAACGGTGACAAAGGTGGGCTATGCGAGGAAAGACAACGGGAAAGAGATTCAAATGACGTGGACAATACTGGAATAAGGTAAAGTTATAAGGGACAAAAATGGAATAAAAAATTAGCAGATAAACCTTCATCAACCGTATCTGCTTTAGGTAGAGATTGTTAATCTCTTATATTGAATGGTTATGGGTGGACCTTAAAATAGTAATTCATGCATTTTATCTCCAAATAAAAAAAGACTAAATCTTACTGTATTGGCTAAATAACTCTCCTTTAAATCCTAACATCCAAACAACACTGTTGGCCAATATGATATGAGTATTTGAGCGGAAATTTTTAGGGGTGATAATTGGAGGGTTATTTGCAATAAGTGAAAATTAAGATGTGTGGAAGTACCACTTTGGTTGGTCTTGAACCTTGAGACTTTTTTCCTTAATCAAAGATCAAAATTATGCGGTAATACAAGTAGACCGTTATCGATTTTCTTACCGGTTAACCACTAAGTAAAATAGAGCTAACCAAAATTGAACCACTAAAAGTTAACGGATATCTCTTAAGCAATTCGGTTTTCGATTAAAATCGATAACCGACTAACCATTTACCATTATATATCCGAATGTTTGGTTTTTTTTTATATATATTTTTTAATCAAGTCACATATTTGAATTTATTGAAAGACGACAGATTTTTTTTATATCAACGAGTGGTGATTGTTCGTTATATGACCTGAGCATGGTGGCAAAGGGCGTGGTGGTATCCTGAAGCAGAGGAGGAACAGAGGATTTGGGCAATCCTTCCAACCCAGGGATTTCAAGCAATTCATCCTCGCCAGCCGAACCGGAAAGAACATCGGAAAGAGCAGGATAGTAGGCGAAGAAAGCAAACATCCTCGCCGAACTAACGAAGAGGACGTAGTTAGGAATGTTGAGACTTTCAGTCACTGAAATGGTGGAAGACATCAAGCTTATGTCGGAAAGCAGAGCATCGGCCGGCGGAGACAGAGATTTGAGGATGTCGGACAGACGAGGAAGGGAGCGATGGATTAATTCCCATTGTCGGAAGAAAGGGTCTTTGGAGGAATCATCAGAATGATAGTTTGGAGGGAGGTGGAGCAGATGGAATTGCTTCTCGGTGACTTGAGGGTACAGAGTGAGGAAGCGGGTGATGAGAGCCGACTCGGGCTGGGAAACGAGTGGGTGGGAGGTGATGAGTGTGACTCGGCAGTTTTGGCTCGCCAGGGCTCCGGCTACTTTCAGGAACGGGATGATGTGGCCGGCGCCGGAGCTCGGCATCAGAACCATGTGAGGCTGCTGCTGCTGTGATGACATGGCAGCTGGCTAGTTGATGATTAGGGGGAAAGGGGAGGTGGATGCTTTGCAGTAAGTAGGTCTGTTTATATTTATAGGCGTATTTACAGATTTGGTTTCGGCCAATTTGATTTGCAGATGCAAATGGTTATTATGATAATAATTGCCAAATAAACAAGAGTATTATAAGTAGAATCAACATAGTATCAAATTAAATTAGGGGTGGTATTTAGGGTGGTTACTCGCACCCGTTTTAGGGGCCAAAATGCTAACTGCAACCACACTGCATTGCAGTTAGCAGTTACTGTACAAGGGCGCTTGGTCGTGTTTGGACCGGCACTGCACGTGCACGTTTCAGGCCCATTTATTTCGTTCCGTGCTTGGCACGGTCATCAGTTTCCATGCCGTACTGTGTCATCCCATTTGTTAATTTTGCTATATTTGGCGTAGGCTCGGGCACGGTTTCAACCGTTCGTGCTTATTCGTGCTCGTGTCGTGCTTATATTCGTGTTTAATGAAAAAGAAGAAAAATAAAAGAGGAAATGAAAAAGAAGGAACAAATTGGTCGGAGAATGAATGTATTAACCGAGAATGTAACAAATGTAACAAATAAGAGGGAAAAGAAAATTGAAAGTATAGCGGGTTTGATCTGATTTTGTTTAATACTTCGTCAATTTTTACTTATGGTAGTAATTACGTATATATATTTATGATAACTTCTAACAACAATAAATAATTTTTATTGTACTTGTATTTTTTTAAGATTTGGACCTATAATCCTTTTTATATTTATTTTCTATCAAATAAATATTCTTTTCATGCCATGTTCGTTCTTATATTCAGTAGGGTCTCGAAAACATTAGGTCCGGCACGACCCATTTACATATCGTGTCGTGCCCGTGCTCGTGTCCGTGCCCATGAAATTAGACCCTACAAAGCCCATAAATTTTCTGTGTTCATGTCTGGCCGACCCATATATTTCGTGCCCATGCTCGTACCATCGATAACCATGCCATGTCGTGCTTTCTCGTGAGCGGCCCGGCGGTTGCCAATGTACAGCAGTTACCTAGAAACTTCATAATGCGGTTAATGGCTACCCACAATTATCTAGTAAAACTTGCATTATCTAATGACAAGCAATATTTAAGACCCTAAAAAACATTAAAACATCCTAAATGAACCATCAAAATTACCATTTCAACACCACAAAAAATTAAACAAGTCCAAATTACCATCCAGCAACACACAAAAATAAATGATACATATAATATATTTCATGA